GGCGTGTGTGTGTGTTGTGTGTGTATGTTGTGTGTGTGTAGTATGTGGTATGTGTGTTGTGTGTATGTTGTGTGTAGTATGTGGCGTGTGTGTGTTGTGTGTGTGTAGTAAGTGGCATGTGTGTTGTGTGTGCATAGTATGTGGCATGTGTGTTGTGTGTATAGTATGTGGCATGTGTGTTGTATGTATGTTGTGTGTGTGTGAACATCTGTGTCTGTGATACAGATGTTCCATTTAGAACCCAGTACTCCACAGCCACTTGTTTTTTGCACTTTGACCCATTATGAGTCTCTTCAATCAAATAATTTTTCTGATGAAAGAATGTGAAACTAAAGGTTAGAATTTTGATCTCTAGTCTAGTGAACAACATGCAAATAAAAGAAGGCAAAAAGTTATGTATTCATTTAATTGTTGAATCTTTCCTCCAAATGTGTCCATCAGCCTTCATGTTCTCGGTGCTTCCTGCATGCCTTTGCCCACGATTCCACCAGGTTTCCCCCCATTATCACCATATTTCTCTGAGCACCACCTATGGACTTCTCGTCTTTCTTCATCTTAAACTGCTCATTGCACAAAATGTATTATATAATTTTGTATAATTTTCTTATCTAAATCTATTGCTGTTTTATGAAGTTTCAATGTATAGAGCAGCTTTACAAAACCTCCAACATTCAGTTTTTTTTTTTTTTTTTTTGGTCTCCCCTTTGTTCTATGCAACAGAGATTTCTTATTTTGTTTAATATTCCCACTTGGAAATTAATGTTTCCTCAAGCATTCTTTGCCCTCAAAGATAAAATTAGACTGTACACTGTACATTATGTTTCAACATAACACTGATATAAGTGAAACAGCTAAACAATGTCAAATCTATCCAGCTATGATATATTCTAACAGCCCCATCAATTTTCCTGCCTACTTTACCTAAAAGTTCACATACTGGATCTCCAATTTGCAGTTTTCATACCCAAGAAAATATACAATTATGGGATATTCTTAATGCTGCCGATGTGGGAAACTCACGGGAAAGTCCAAGTAAAACACACGGAACACTCCCTGGGTCTGGCTAAAGTGCTGCGATCATCTCTACTCTACATAATAAGATGCCCATGCAGCCACTTTTATTAAAGTGATGTTTCTCGGTGGCCACACCTGTTTTCTGGGCAGTTCCATCTCAGGCCTGTGCGTTGACACTAGGAAGCCATTCCCCCACTTCTGTGACTGGAATCCACACTCAGCTGCCTGCAACAGTCAAGTAGGAATTTAAATTTGTGAAGCAGCTCCCCATGACACACTGGCACTATCACACCTGTAATAAAATACACTCGTGCGATCACACACTCACACACCATGGCTGAGCCACAGATGGGCTAATGTCTGATTCCTTTTCTACAGTTTCACCCAGAAACCTAGTCTTCCCTTTTATTTTAGTTTTAACACTCATTTCAAATATTTGCTGACCACCTAGCTTTCTCTGAACATACTTTAAATTCAGATAATAATGCTACAATGTTTTGCTTTGTATCTCTAGTCCCCAAAGTAAAGCTTTGCCTCTGGTGTTTCTGAATCAAGTACAGCAGAGTGAATGCGATCCATGCTGATTAATGCCCTCATGTGACTCTCTAGCTTGTGCTCATTAGGGAGACACATTTGGACTCTTTTGAATAAATTCCTGGCATTGTAGCTGGCAAAAGATAGGCGTGAGGACAAAGGGCCAAGCTGGAGGGAGAGGATATCTATTGGAATGGTGTGGAGGGTGTTGGTGATTGACTGGGTACCAGTACCATCACCAATATGTTGGTCTCCATTTTACTTATTCTTGGAAGAAGACTCTAGGTTTCAAACTATTTTGTAAAATCCTTTTGTGTATATGAGAGTGCAAATCAACATGAGTGGATTGAGCAAAGCTGATGCCAGGACCGTTCCAGTGTGAGAAGGAGGAATTCTCATCTCTCCTGTGATAGTATGTTCTTATCGCCAGTTATTGGCAGCTAAAGCACACAGCGGGAATGTCATTGTGAGGATGCAATGCAGAGCCTCTAAGAGGACATCGCAGTGTGGAGCAGAGCATGTCATGCTGGTCTAACAGAATTTTTGCAGACTCATTTTCTGAGTTTAAAAGTTCCTGTGAGACTTCTTGAGTGGGCCCAGAGCCAAGTTACAGTCTTTGAGGATTTAGGTTGGGTTGAGATTTTAGAAACTATGTATAAGGGTAGGGCAAAACAAATACAGTTTTGATATATCAAGACCTCAGTTTTATTTTCAGGTTAGAGGAACATAAATCATAATTATTATTTGATATAGATAATACTTTATTTTTTAAGGAATTTTTGTAATGTGTGTTTATTTCTAAAATTGATTTTAAGAGAATATAAAAATAGTATATATTGTTTGGATAATTCAGTATGTCATTAAATTATCTCTATATGGAATTACATGTAGACACAGTTATATACATATAATATATATAGCTATATATCTATAAACCACATATTTTGTGTTTATACAGACACATATATTATTAGCCATAAAGAGTTGCTAGATTCATTTTACAAAAAAGGAATTTGAAACTTTTGAAATGTCCAGATTTCTGCATAAAAGTAGAAATCAGGTACGGGTTAAAACCACCAGTCCATATAAAACTGTTTCAGTTCTCACAGATAATTTTTTCCCACTTAAATAGAAAAAGAAAAGACACTTCTCAGCCTGGGGAGGGAAGAATCATGTTTATGTTTTGTTTTGTTTGCTTAGCTGAGTAGCGGGAGCCACTGCGGAGCTTGGGGAGAACAAAAGAGAAGCAGCAGAAAATAGCCCCTGAAATAACAGGGTCTATGCAGTAACCTCCACTTTACCCTCTCCAAAGAAATTATTCAAGTGCATTTTATAATTATCTTGGTGTTTACTGACTCAAGCATTATTGCTACCAGACAGACATTACCGGCATAATTTTGGTAACAGTAAATAGTAGAAAGGAGAGATTTTACAAATGCCAGGAACCTCGGGAGTAAAGCAGGAAATGTCCATAGAGGTACCAGAGCATCTTAGCAAATGCTTTCTCTATTTACATGGAATTAAAGTGCTTATTTACCTCAGTGGAGTGAAGCCCATAATCCTAGTAACAGTAATTTTGTGTACTGTTAAAATTTTCCAATTTTGGAAACTAGTTTTTAACATATACTTAAAAAAATTCCAGATGCATGTACATGTCCTCACACATGCCAATTGAAAACCTTTTCAAGCCCAAAAAAAGTGGCATTTTTGAATTATTATCAAAAAATTTGTTCTGGTTCTTCCATTCTGTAAATGGATGTTTTCTGTCGCAACTGCCTGGACCCAAATAACTAACTCAGAGGCTCAATATGAATTATAAATTCTCTGCCAATAGCTCAGGCTTGTTACTAGCTAACTCTTACGCTTAAATTAACCCATATTTCTATTTATGCTTTGCCACATGGATCATGGCTTGTTACCTCATTTTCTACACATTCTGATTGCTTGGTGGCAGGCTGGCATCTCTCCTAACTCTGCTCTCCTTCTCATCATTCTCATTTGGCTTTCCTGTCTAACTTCTTGCCTGGCTATAGGCCTGTCAGCTTTTTGTTAACCAATGAGAGTAATACATAGTCATAGTGTAGAAAAGGATTGTTACACAGCACTATTCAAACACTATTAGAGTCGGATAAACATATAGACAAATGTATAACTAGATTCTGGAAATGGTTCTAATTCTCTCTTTTCCTTGTGTGTATAAGCATTTATCTACAGTACTTATTTATTCTATAAATGTTCTGAGGGGACATAAAACAAATATTGACCAATAAAGCTGAATAAAATAATTTTAGTCTAAAATACTACATTATAATTTCTGTGAGTTAGTGTCATGTGTACCTTAAAGAAAAATCCTGAAGCCATGTCGCCAACTGTTGGAAAATCACTCTCATTCTCCATGAGATGTCAGTTATTATTCCTGCTCCTGTGCTATTTGCCATTCATTTGGGGGATGCAGTGCAGTGATGATGAACACTCTTTGATTCTAGCTCTTCAAATCCTGCTTGTTGCAAGTTCATATTTCTAGCCAACTCTGCAAAATGGTAGGTAGACTTAGGACCAATGAGGAGAGCAAAGGATGTTTACCCTCTTCCAAGCTACATGTATGCTACACAATGGACCAGTGTGGCACAAAATATAGAGATTACTAGGATGTTAAAAATAAAAACCTAAAGCAGAAAATGATGCACTATTGCAAACCACACAAGAACAGTTTGATTTTCTTATTTACAAATACAATCTGAAAGATATAAGTTATACAGCAAGCATTTCAGGGTGCATGTGCTGGTGGACATGGGAGGATTCCTGGGGCTCACTAGCCACCCAGTATAGTTTTTTAGGCATGTTTCCAGGCAGTGAGAGTCTCTGTCTCAAAACTAACAAGGTGTCTTGTCTGAGGAACAATGCCTGAGGTTGACCCCTGGCCTTTAAATGCACATGTACACACATGTCATCACACACACACAATTAGCCTATTATGCTAATATAATTTTAATAACGTGTTAATTGTGTTGAGTCCTCAGTAAACAATGATGCTTTAGGCAATTACACATATGATCAATGCCCTCATCGACTTTATTCTGTGGGTGTGATTCCTGTTTTACAAAAAGGAAAGCCATCAGCTCTATGACTTGTATACCTTGAAATAGCAAATAAGGACACATTCTTTTTGCTCAAAGAGTCTCATGCCAAAACATATGATTAAAATATATTTAAAAATAAAAATTGTCTTAAATAATGAAAGAAGAAAGAAAGAAAGAAAGAAAAGAGAAATAGAAACCAAACAAAGAAGGAAAAAAAAACAAGAAAAAGTATCCAGCAACAACAACAAAAAGCAACCATTGCCAACACGATATTGCACTTGATCTTTTGTCTGTCTATGAGGTCATAAAATAGAGTATAAAATTTTCATAATTTTTGGAATTAGGGGAATTCCAAGTCTAATTTATGTTAGGCAGATACATTAATATAACAGCTATCCTTGGAATTCTTGTACTTGGACTCAAGTATTACACTAAACATCTTGTTGACTAAAGAAATAGCAATCAGAATAACACCTTACAGTTTTGCTTTTTTAGATGTGAGTTTTTAAAATTTAAGTGGTTTTTGTAGTTTGCTTCTCCTATATTCAAATACTGTGAGTCTGGGGCAAACCCCTTTTCTCTTTCTACATGGAGTGATGACTGCATGATCTTTAAAAAAGTGTCCACCAGCAGTCACTCACAAAGGAATGAGACAGGGCTAGTTCTCTGTAAAATGTGCAACCCCACAGCAGCCTTGCTCCACCCAGCCTATCATATTCTCTATTTCTTCCACATGGAAAGAATTGCCCCTGCAACACAGATATATATTTGACATCTCTACTGCTTCAATTTTGAGGTATAAAATTGATTTTTGGGTCCATTCCCATGTGTTTTGTAGGAACACTATCCACACTTGTTATTAGAGAGCTTTTATTTCTGTACTTCAAAAAGTTTTAGCAGCCTCCTCTCTCTTCACTAAAACATGCACATCATTTTTTCACGCATACCTGTAGGCCTTTTGAGACTATGGAGTCATGACATCTCTTTTCTCCTTACAGCTCTTGTTCATTCAGAAATGTGTGAGTCCTGTGAGTTACAGCTCATATGCCATTTATTCTTGAAAACATCTAATTTGAAATGAATTTTTCTTTCATGCGTCAACATCTTACAAACACTAATAAACATACAAATATTCTTTATGCATTTTCCAAAGTCACCCATACATTAATGTTTTCCACAGTATTTTACTTTTCTAGATTTCTGATGAACTTAGATATTGAAAATCTCCCATAAGAAAGGAGAAAAAGTCAGATACAAATGCATGTGAATAAGTGATGGAATTATCAGACCTCGGTTAAGATGAAGTATTGGCAGTAATGCAAACTCTGATTTCTTAATGAGTTTAACGTGTCTTCATGAAATGCAACAGCGTGCTATTTTGAAGTGCACCCCTGGCTATTAATCTTCAATCAGTACTAAACTGGAAGAGAAGACTTATGTACAAGAAGCCCTCTTTTGAGTTCGTTGACCAGGGCTATCCAAAACATACAGCCTATTGCTGTTGCCCTTGGTTACCCCCTAGAGATGGAAGGCGAGTCCCTATTGCTGAAGACACCATGCTCTTCAGAAACAGGGCCCAGAGACCCCTGAGCTGGAACTGACCTGAATGTTCCTTCCCTGAGGACTAGCTTTCATGGTACAGAAGGTACCACACAAACTTTGAAAGAGGGTGGCAACCAACATTTCTACTAGCTGTGATGCCCGTGAACCTCTGAAAGAGCCAGCATGACTTGATCACCCCAACGGTACAGCAGTAGTGGCACACATGACTAGGTGGTAACCAACAGTTCTCTATTTGGACTTAAAAGTCACTCAACAAGAGGGAAACTATGCTTGCTACTAGAAGCCAAGCTAATTACCCAGTGCTAGGGAAATCATGGTGGTTGGAGGAGAATCCACAAGCACTAATATACTACACTGATATAATCCCTAACAACGATCAATAAACATTTACCCTGTGCCACATTTATCCGTCACCCCCATCATAGAAATTTCTTTATAATGGAGATCACTACAGAAAACCACCATCAATCAATATGCAGAGTTGTGGAGCCCCATCCCAATGGATACATTAAAAACAAAACAAAATGAAACAACCCACTCTAGCACCTCAAGGCTCAGGGAACATTGTTGAAGAGGGCGGTGAAAAATTACAAGAGCCAGATGATCAAACCGACTGCCCTGAGTCTGTTGTCTAGTGATATCAGAAGATACACCCATAAAGTATCACCAATATGGCTACCCAAATGTCAGTGCAGCAAGGGAGACACCAACAGACATGCCAAAATACACGGGGAAAAGCACACAAGGCCTTAACTCTACACAAAGAACTGCAAGCAACTAAGACAGCTGAGAATGGGAAGGGTGGTCTCCTCCATGAAAGAGCACACCAACTGGTTATCCAATGTGCCAGACAGTCAACCCTGAAAACACACATACATATATCAACATACGCATGCAATAGTGATTAGTGAAAAAAATGGGCCATAAATTAGGAGAGTGGGCAGAATTTGGAGGGAGGACATAGAAGGGAGAAATGCACTTATATTATGATATCAAAAAATAAAAGTAAAGAAGTAACTTGCAAAAAAATTGCCTTGGGGCTGGAAAGATGGCCCTGTGATTAAGAACACTTGTTGCTCTTTCAGGGGAGCAGGATTAGCTCAGCACTAAAATCACAGCTCACAACTGTCTGTAATTCCAGCTGCAGGTAGGTGATCTGATGCCGGCTTCTGACTTCCTTTGGCACACATGAAGCACAGGTACATATGCAGGCAAAGCACCCAGATACACACAGGTTTTTTTTAAAGTTAATTTTTTTTTTTTTTTTTGGTTTTTTGAGACAGGGTTTCTCTGTGTAGCTTTGCGCCTTTCCTGGAACTCACTTGGTAGCCCAGGCTGGCCTCGAACTCACAGAGATCCGCCTGGCTTTGCCTCCCGAGTGCTGGGATTAAAGGCATGCGCCACCACCGCCCGGCTAAAGTTAATTTTTAAAACAGGGTTAGGTATTTTAACCTAACAACAAACAGCAGTTGTTCTAAGTAAATAGAGAACTTCCCAAGCCTTTCTAGTTTCAGTTCCAATTGTACATATAGGTCCACAGTACTATGCAGAGTGCTGATTCAATTCTTTTCTCACTGGAGTCTCTATGCACACTTACCTCACAGTATTTTCTAGAGTATCCCAGGTGTTTGTAAATATGTATTTTTAAAATACATCAGGAATATCGTTGACAGTGTCTATATTTATGATTAATAGGGTAGGAATAAATTTGTTTCTTTAAGTAAAAAAATGATAGATAAACCTATATGCTGTGCTAAACTGCAAGAGGTATTTCTATATGAGCATAAGAACAGTGTGCAAAATATGCAATATGTTAAAAATGTTCATCTAGAGGTCATAGAATAATAGATAGTTTTGATTTCTTTTTAAATTTTTTGTTTAGGCTTACTTTATTTTACACGTGAGTGTTTTTCCTGTATGTATATACACCATGTATATGCACCATGTACATGCCTGGCATCCACAGAAGACAGAAGAAGCCATTGGATCCCCTGGAACTGAAATTACAGATGCTTGTGACCCACCTTACTTTGCTAGGCACCAAACCCAGGTCATCTGCAAGACCAAGAAGTGCTTTTAACCACTGATTTATCTCTCCAGCCCCTTTACTTATTCCTTTTATTTTTAATATTTCCAATCAGTATAAAGTGTTTGCCTTGTTTGTGCATTAAAGAACAAATATATAGAGATATACTGAACAACTGGCAAAAACAAATTCAAGAATAAAATGCATCTGTACAGAACAGACTATTTCATTGATTTTATAAATATTTATTTAGAATGTTATATATTCTTAGGATTCTTGTGGATATGTCAAGTTTTCAAAAAAGGAATGAAATGTGCTTCCTACAATTAATTGTGTAAGACATATTTATCTTTAGCCTATTGAGGATAAAATGCTATGCATAATACTACAAGGAGCATGAGATGCAGAGATGAGGAACTTTTTCCAGAATTATGATTAAAATACTTTATGAGATTAGTAGATGTGGACAGCAAGATGTTGACAATCAGAGAAAAGATGTCTAAATGAAGTACCCATATCCAGGAACGGGTACAGACAGATGTAGATGAAGCATTTGGAACAAAAGGAGGATAGGCAGATTTGAATCAATTAAAATAACTATCTGAAAGCCATTGATGAATAAAAATAAACATGCCGATAGTCTTGGGTTCAGTTTACAGAGTCAATGGAAGGGTAAAGCAAAGATTAAAACAGTGACCAGTGATGAATTTTAGGTAAGGTAGTTCAGAGTCACGTGGCAAGTCAATAACAGAACGGCGGAGAAAATGAATGTGGTTTGAAACAAGTTGCATTTGGGAAACTTTCATAATCCATTTGAAACCAGTTCATTCATCTATGAGCTGCATGGATGTGGAGCTCAGAAAAGAGGCTTTGGTGAGACGTAGAGAAAAGTGGGCAGTCTTTGTGAATATGGTTACCAGGAGTGTAAAACCACTTCACAGCAAGAGCTAGGGTTGACTAACCCAGCCGCTGAAACTGCAGCATAGTGAGAACAAAGAAAAAGACAAAAAATGGAGTGTTGTATTAATTTCAGGCAAACGACAATGAAAGCCAGATGTGGTGTTATGGTAGTAACAGCTGGAAGAAGCTGAGGACATTAGGGTTACTTTCCTTGCTGCTTTATCTTTCTGAGTGTTATCAAGAAAAACCAAGTAGTATAGCCAGTCTACAAATTGAGAATTCCCAGAGCCAAGTGCATGGCAGACACTTAGAGAGCCATATAGTAATGCAGTAGACTGGATATACATTAATTGAGTGAAGGAATAAACTAAAGCCTAAAGCATACCTTGATCAACATTACCAATATCCTTTCTTATTAACATCAATTTGTGCCATGAAAGGTAAAAAATATATTGACCTTTTAAAATTAATGCAGTCTATGATGTAGATGCAATGAATTTGTTCATATGCAATTTTGACATTCATACCTTGACATCAGAGGTTACAGAGCATGAAAAATGTATATATTTAAACATTAAATATTCTTCACCTCACTTATTTGGTGCTTTCCTTTATTGTACTGTCAGAGAGAGTGGTAATGTGACTATGCTCTTGTGGTCATCTGAGTGGGGACTTAAATTTACTCCACTATTTCTTCAGTTTTATATTTAGTTTTTGATATTGTCATTTTCTACCAAAAATCACATTGGATTCATTCTCCTAAGTTATTGAAATAATGATCTGATTTTTTTTCTTATTTTCTTACAGAAAACTTGTGAAATCTGGGCTGTGGCTACAGTTCATTGTTAGAATGTTTACCTAACACAAATGAGGAACTAGGTTCGATTCCCAGTGTTGGGGGAAATTCGTTTTCAATTGCTTTTCACAAAATTAAAAGTTAATTTGTACTTACAAGAGGTCAAAAGTGGTGATCTGAAAAAAAGACATCCCTAGAGCCCAGTTGTTAATAATTATTGCTTCAAAACAAAGTAGAATAGCTGTTTTCTTGAACATTGATTGGGAAGATTGTGCTCATAGTTGATAAAATTTCATGTTGTCCAACATCTGCAGGCTTCCATTCTCAAAATAAAGTCATGTAAAGAAAATGTCAGATGGCTAACTCTAAAATCAAGAATATTAAATTTGCATGTGTCTATTTTTCACAACACAAACACACTTTGAAAATTAATTAGCAATGGCTACTGGGATCATATTACAACTTCTGTACTTCATGCACACTAGTGTTAAAATATCCAACTGTGCTCTTATGCTGTGCCTATTATCTTAAATTCATTGTGATCCCAAAGGACATATATGACTTAATAACATGGGATTGCCATTAGATTTTCCACAGAAGAGCTTTGAAATTGGCAAATCGATCTTCAAAGATGAGGACTGTAAAGAAAGGCCACCTCCTCCATCATGTTATTTTCTTCCTCTAGGTATTCTATTTACGTCATTTCACTTTGTATGAGTTTAATTTAAAAGAATCCAAGACTTCAGAGTCAGAAACAGCTTTAGACAGTTTTTAAATCAAGCCCTTTATTCTATTCATATGCCACCCTATTCCGTGTTATTGCTGTAAGAGGGCCCTGAGTCCAGGTCTAGCATTATGAGAACACAGCTTTTTCTTGGCAATTTGAACTGCCCAGAAGTTGCTCCTTGTAAGTAGGTGATGTATCTTTCCCCATTTTCTTCCTATCACTGGTTTAAATTCCATCTTTTGGAGTCATGTGGAATAAGATATATTACACCTGATATGATAGATAACCTTGCCCAACTTTGTCTGGGGCCAGCTGGCACACGCAAATCTTGAGGCTTAGGCTCATCTATAACTTACTAGCTGCTATATGCTTCAGAAAATATTGGAAGTAGTCTCCTCATCATTCCTAATATTTTGTCACATAATAAAATTTCAGATTTGATGGGTTGGGGAGATAGCTCAGTCAGTAAAGTGTTTGTTATGCAAAAATGAAAACCTGACTTTGCATCTCCAGCCCCCACATCAAAAACCTGGAGCAGAGGAAAATGTCTATAACCCATGTCTGCAATCCCCATGCAGGAGAGGTGGATACAGGCAGATTCCTGGGTTCAAAGAGCAGCCAGTCTTGACAAATTGATGAACTCTAGGTTCAGTGGGAGACTCTGTGTAAAATAAAAGGTAGAGAGCAATTGAGGAGGATATCCAACCTCCATGGGCACACGCACACACACCAACATGCACACATGTACATACACATAAACAATCACACACAATTTTACAACTCATTTTCTAAGCATATAAACTCGCGACCAAGTGCCAACTTTTGTCTTAGTTAGGTCAAAGAGTTTCACATGAGAAGTAAGGATATGCAGCCAAACTGGAATATATTCTCTACCTGCTCAGATTTCTTCAGTGAGAAAGAACACTGACCATCGTACCCTGAGCTTGAGACTGAAGTCAGATTAGACTGCTACTAACTGGCTGACTGTCATCCAATGCAGCCCTTGGCTTGGGTATTAACAGAGTTGTAAAGATTATAGATGAGGTGAGTCAGTTACAATCCTAAACAGTATCTCAGATCTGTCAACAATATGGTATAGTGATTGCAATCAGCCTGTGGATTGGAAGAAGTTTCCTTCTAGCTTTCCCTGAATATCTGTGGTTAGGCTACATGGTTGTTGGAAAGAAAATGGCCCCCATAGGAGGTGTGCCCTTGTTGGAGGAAGTGTGTCACTGTGGGGGTGGGTTTTGATTTCTCCTATGCTCAAGGCTACTCCAAGTGTCATGGTTGCTTTTGCTGCCTGAAGATCAAGATGCACAACTTGCAGCTCCTTGTCCAGCACCATGTCTGCCTGCATCCTGCCACTATGTTCTGCCATGAAGATAATGGACTAAACCTCTGAAGTTGTAAGCTGCCCCCAATGAAATGGGGTTTTCCTTTATAAGAGTTGTCATGGTCATGGTGTTTCTTTACAGCAATAGAAACTCTAAGACAGGCTATTTGACTTCTCCTTCTCATAGGTTGGCAAACTTCATAACTGGCTCACCCCTACCCCTTCTTTCCTTTCTTTTGGTGCTTATACAGTGTCATTAGAAATCTCTTTGGTAGACATGAGTTTTGTGCTTGCTGCTGTGGTGAGAGAGTTGGTCTCTCCCCTCTTAACAGTCCCAACCATTTTTGTAGAGTAATGCTAGCCACACATACCATGTAATGGATTAAACTAATAAGAGTTATTCATCCTAAAACTGAAATGTAGACATTTTGACCACAATATCTACTCTATTTTCTCTTTCTTCTCCGAAGTCCCTGATGATTACTAATTCTACTGTCTGTTTCTATGGTAAAAATGTAGCTGATATTAGCTAAACTGAAACACTTCTGAAAAAATCAAACTTTGAGAAAATAATGAAGACTTTTTTTTAAATCTGAAAGTGAAATAAGGTTGTAAAAATGAAGTATATGATAACAGCAGACTGTTGATAATTCCTAAACAGGGAAAGAAAGCATCGTCCTTCCTTAGGTACCTGCAACACAAACTGCCCCTCTGCATTCCATGCACAAAGAGAAAAACGATCTAAGTGCAAACACACAAAGCTTGGAACCAAGTTCACAAAAGGAAACCAGCATATTGGTGTGCTGTTTAAACTCAGACAGACGTGGTAAATGCATGACTTCAGGCAGAGTGAATCTTATCATTAGGGTTATCCATGGGAAATAAACATAAAGGGTCTGGTTTTGATGTCATGATTTCTGCTCATTCTCTTTCATTCTGGTATCTGGAGAAATTCAGCTAGCCAAGGTCTCTGTGTAAAACCCCAGGGCACAGAGTGCCCCTGACTGCTCATGATTTGAAAACCTCACCTTTTTTGTCTGTCATGACATAACACAGTTCAAGTGTCCTCTCTCATCGATGCTTCTCATTTGGTATTTTTACTTATATTTCCAAAGCAGAGTGCCACAGTCCATCTCTCATTCTATCCTGTCTTAACCCCTTACCTATAGCCCATCTATTATCCAGAGTTTTAAAAGAATTAGCAAAAGATGACTCTCAAATCTACCTGAACCTTCTTTAATCATCAGTTCTATGAACCCCAAGGTTACCCAGACCATTGTACTGGAAAAATCCATTAGTCTATCAAACTCCATAACCCTTCAACAGAAATTCTCTATCTCTTTTTTTCAGAGCTCAGCATTGCCCAATTTAAATTTAGACTTAAAATTGTATATTTACATTTTATAATAATTAAATGTTTGTTAGGTGTTTGGAATATATCATGATAGTCTAAAATTATCTCACTTAGGTCATTTGTATCAAATGAACTTGAAAATGTTCACAAATTAATGGCTAAAATACATCCAGAAAGGTTGTTGTAAAGATGCAAAAGACTGTGTGTAAAAATCTAGGGCAGTAATTATTATATAAAAGGAATGTGACAAATAAATAATAAATAAATAAATTTATTAAAAGATGGCTTAGGTGTGGAATTTCTAATATTCTTTTTTTGTATGAAAATTTTATACATGGAACATATTTTGCTCATTTCTACCTCCCTACTCCTTCTCCCCCTCCTCCTCTTCTTCTTCCTCCTGAATTCACCACCACACAACCTGAAATTGCATGGCCTTTCTCTCTCTTTGTCTCAATGGTAGTGGCAAATTTTTGCAAAATTACTTAGATTCCGTTCCAAAATGGTTACACCATTGACAATCATGTTTGCTCTCATATATATATATATATATATATATATACATATATATATATATATATATATATATATATATATATATATATATATATATATCACTGATTTCAGTTATTGTTGTCCATTGATAAATGGGTGTGGGGCCATCTACTAGATTATGAGACACCTGACAACAGCAAGACTCCCAAAGAAAAATGACTCTTCTTACCCCAATAACCATCATTTGTCAATAGCTCCTTAGGTGTGAGGGGAGCCTTGTGAATGAAAATACTGGAGTTTTGTCTGGATTGACTTTCTATGCGTCTTATTCAGATATCCATAGCTAATGTGATTTCATGATTATTACAAATCATAAAATGTGCAGAAGACAATATTTCATAGCTTTCATCTCCATTCTAGTCTCCTACATTCTGCCCCCTCTTCCTCAATGCTTCCTGAACCTCAGTGGTGTAGTAAGTTGATAAAGATGTTCCAGTTAGGGCTGAAAACTCCAAGTCGTATGTTTTCAGCATCTTGACCAGTTATGAGACTTTGCATTAACTGCTATCTACTGTAAAAAGAAAATTTTCTGATCAAGGCTGAGAAAAGCATAGACCTATGCACATAAACAATCATTTAGAAGGCAGTTTGATAACATTATCATTGAAATAACAATAGTAGGTTTCTCATTAATTTCTATGGCATCCCAGAACGTGACCTTTTGACCAGGTTTACAGTAGTATACATGAATGCCCTCCAGTAGAACAGGCCCCAAATCTAATCAGAAAGTGACTGGCTACTCCCATATCAGTCATTTTACTCTTGAACCAGAGAGAATATCCTTCATGGTAGGTCTATATTGTAACATGCAGAGTGCACTGTTGGGTAAGTCCATTGGTGTCTTTCTTCCCTTAGCAGAAAATGCTTTTTGGCATCATCTGATATGGAGGGAGCTTCCCAGTCAGCTCTAGATTGATTTCTCTATGTCCTTCAATAAAATTGTATGATGTCTTCAGCAAAAGGATCTTACCATGTAGTTTTGATGGGTTATTAAAAGCAATAGCAATAACTTGTCTTGTATTGGAGATCTCTGGTGTCTAAGTAACTTGTAGGGAGGTATCTTATTCCTAGAACTGAAAATCTTGTTTAATAATTTATGTCTTATGAGAGTAGTAATCTCTACCCGTATAGGGTACTCCTGTTCAAACAGAAATTGAAAGTTTTCTTTTTCCCTTGACTGCCATTGTAAGTTACTTCTTGGCTTTGAGACAAAAAACTTTAAAGACTCAAAGACTGTCTTATGCGCATATGTAGAGATTAGGGCGTTTTACAGTGATCCGCTTTGGGGGCTAGGAATGTTAGTAAATAGAACAGAGTCAAGGAGCTGGGCAAACAAGCTGTTGCAGCTCAGTGTCCTTCTTTATTCACATGGGTCTTTCATGTTCCTTGACCTGTGAAAGCAAGTTAGAACCCACACAGATGATGCACCATCAATGTCTTGCCTCATGCTAGGGTTCTGAAAGAGGCTGTGAATCTGTGATTAAAAGCAGAAGTACCAAATAAGCTCTTGCTGGGATTGGCAAGAGTTAGCACACCGTTTGTCTCCTTTCAGTTCCTTCTAGACTTGGAGGAAGATTGCTTCCCAGTCATAGAATCCGAGAGTGTTACATTCAGGAGATGTCACTGTAAAACCACATTATAGATCTGCAAAAGACTGGCAAAAATGATTATCCTTGGGACAAAGATATCAGGCATGATATTAATCGTTCATTTGGTCTACTTTATGACAGAAAAATATTTCTAAGGAGATGTTGGTCAAAGACAACATGGAATAAGAAAAATAGCCTTGCTTAAAATGAGAATATGTATTATCAGATAACCTGTTTTGAGTGACTGGTTTAGTCATTTCTTCATCAGTTAGAAACTGTTAGATGTTTACTGAAAAGCAGATGTGTGTAGATTTGTCTGCAAGGCAACACTCAGAACAAGAGAGAGAACCAGCCTTCCTCATTTACATTGCAGTGATATTTCAAGACAATTAAAATCTGCTTTGAAAAAGTCGGACTAAAATATGAGTTTATCATCTTAGTGATATCTGGTGTATGCATCCAGAAGAGACAGATCTTGTTATAGGAATGAAGAAAACACAGTAGTTCAAACTCTCTCTCTCTCTCTCTCTCTCTCTCTCTCTCTCTCTCTCTCTCTCTCTCTCT